CGCGTATCCAGTTGCCGCACGTGTCCCTGATCCTGTCTGCAGTAAGTGAGACGGTGAGGGAGCCGGTTCGGCAGTTCCGTGTGAAGTGAGCCCTGAAGCGCAGAGCCGGGCCGTGTGAAGCCGCCAGAGAGCCGGGCTCTGAAGCCTCCCTCCGCCGTGAGCTCCGACAGGAGGGCGGGCTCCGCACGGACGCAGGGCCAAAGAGGGGGGCGCTTCTGGCCCATGGACCCCCGGTGTCACGGCCCTGCGGCTGTGGAGACGGTGGATCGGACTCCTGGTTCCACTTCCAGGCACGTCCATCGTCCAGAAAGGACCACGCCATTTGTAAAGCGCCATGGAGGCGTATGCCTTGGTCTTGGGGGCCTGGCTCAGGGGCCCACGTCTGAGAGTTGATCCGGTCCCGGTGCCACCAGGTCGGGCCCGGGTCCCTGGAGTCCACCAGGGGATGCAGATTCGGGGGGGGGGGGGGGGGGGGGGGGGGGGGGGGGGGGGGTGGAGTTCAGGTGCGGAGGTCATTCTGGCAGCCAGAGTGGCCTCAGTCAGCACTGCCCCAGCTGCCCTCACCCAGCCCAGATCCCTCACCCCTACTTTCTGACGTGTCCACTCCAGTCACAAAATTGAGAAAACAGATCCCCAGTTGAACTTTGCAGAGGACAGGAAAGAGCCACCTTCTGTGACTTGCCAGGCATCGGGGTAACTGGGGAAGGGAAGGAAAACAGGAACAAAAGACCATCTGTAGCCTCTGGAATGCCAGCCAGCGTGCATCGGCTCATTGGACCCGGTGGCCTGACTCAGGAGACCTCTCCCCCAAGGAGGTGAAGCCTGTCTTCTGTATGGGGGGAGGGGTCTATTTTTGTGGACTGCTGTTTTCAGTGGCATTGAAGGCGTCCGTGCCTCCCAACAAGACTGCCACGTACGAGTGGCCTCTCCAGGGATGAGGTCTCAGGACTTTTCTGTGGGCATCCAGCCTGTGTACCAAAGACCTGTTAACTCAGTCTCCTCCCCCGGAATCTACCCTGGTGGCCCCTCCGCTGCCCTGCCGAGTGTGGGCGGACACGGGGTGAGCGGCTCCCACGGGCTTAGGGTGCCCTCCCCCCCAGCCCCCCACCCCCCCACCCCTCAGGCAGTTCCACAAGCACAGCGCGGAGTTCCCTCTGCCTGGGAGTTCAGCCTCTTGGCCAAAAGCCATTTCCCCTCCCGGCCACTCCCCTCCCAGCACTGGTCCTTGGAACCTCGGTCCCCACGCGGTCAGGACTCGGGCACGCGGACAAGAGCCATTCCAGCCCCTCAGAGACGTGCAGGGAGTTGGCAAATACCCTGGGAGACTGGCCAAGCTCTTCTCCATCTTTCTCTGGGTTCTCTGCATGGTCTGTTCAACAAGACCCCTTTCTGACCAATTTTGTTCTTACTCTCATTCCTTGGATCTGAGCTTCCTGAAGGAGCCACCAAGTTCAACTCTAACCAAATAATTTGAGGGTGGATTAGGAATTCATATATAATTGCCATCTTTCACTCACATCTGGCTTTGATTTATTAGCAAAATAGGAAGTTGGAGATTTACAGACCAGTCCTTCCTCACTCTGATAATGTCTGAGTGGTAGTTTTTATCTTGTGATGAAAGCTGATTGCATATTCACTTGATGGTATCTTAAGTTAGAGCTTTGTTCTTTAAAATATTCTTATTAGACGTTAAGTAAGATTTACAATTTTTTTAACGTTTTATTTTAATCTGAGCTGTTTCCATTTCTGCACTTATACTGGGTTTACTGAGTTACCAGAAAGGCAGGTAAGCGCCTTGTCCCCTACAATGGGCGACTCCAGCCGGCACAGTCACCAACTGTCTCAGGGCCCAGAATGGAGGCCGCCTCCTTGCTGGTGAAATGTGTGTTTTGTCCTCCCCGCTCCCCAGGTCTCAAGTTACATCAAAGAGCAGACTCAGGAGCAGTTTCAGATGATCATCATTTCCCTGAAGGAGGAGTTCTATTCCCAAGCCGACGCGCTGATAGGCATCTACCCAGAGGTAAAGACGGGCCCCTGACGCCACCTCGTTGTGTCCTGGAGTGAATTACAAGTCCCAGTGGAGTCTGCACATACTGTTTGATAAATATTAGGCTTAAATGATTTTTTGAATCAAATAAGATTTTTTTAAAATTCACGATATTTTTCTATGGCAGCACACATAAATTTTAAGATCGACTTTAAGTGAAAGATAGTTACGGAGCAGTAAGGTGCACGCACAGTAAACCGTTCACAGTGTAGTTCGTATTTCTGTAATGTTTCAGTGTTTTAGACCAAATGCACTGTGGGTAGCGCTAAAGGGCCCATGTAGCTTTCAGGAAGGACCAGAGCGGGGGACAAACCCCAAATTCACTGGACATTCCAAGTTGTGTAGTAACTTAGAATTCAAACACACCTTAAACTGTTCAAAATACTTACCTGAGCAAATGGGGTAGAGCAGCTAATTCAGAGCATTCAGTCTGGGGACAGTAGGCTTTACTTGCTGAGTTTTCATCTAAATGAAGAACAAACTTAATTTTCCTTCCTGTGCCTACAAGTTTCTTGGGAGCCTCTGGAAATTGTCACCCACGTCAGGGAACAAAAAAGACCTTTTTCCTCTCCGCACTCAGGTTCCCTGGCCTGGGTGGGGGCTGTAAATCAGGCCGGCAAAGGGCAGATTAACAAGAGGAAAACAGCTTATTGACACGTGCGTGGCGCACGGACACGTGCACACCCAGGGGAAGAGTGACCCCGACGGCCGCCGGCCAGACCTCCCGCTACACACCATCCCAGGCTAATACAAGGACAGGGGTGGGGGCTCCCGGATCAGGGGGCAGCTGAGGGGAACTGTGATGAGCAGCAGTCGCTTAGTAAGGCCCGTGGTGCCTCCTCCATCTGCACCCCTTTCCTTTGTGAATGGAGCCTGGAGCCCGGTCCTTGGAGCGTCTTCTGTGTCCGCTCAGAGCAGTCCGTGTGCCGGAGAGGAGGATGTCGGGATGGCACACGCTTGTTCCTTTTACCAGAGAATACACCATAAAGCTGATGTGCACGGAGACCGGTGGTTATAGATGTTCCTTTTTAAGTGCAGATCCGGATTCACTAGTGGCCTTTTATGTTTAATAACACGTTTTCCCTCAGTAGAGAAGTGACTTGAGCGGTCTTTTCTCATTTCAGTTCAACGACTGCATGTTCAGCAGAGTTTTGACCCTAGATCTTTCTCAGTATCCAGACACTGAAGGCCGAGAAAGCACCAAAAGAAACCGAGAGTCACGTTAAGACCGCGAGGGCCCCTTGAGCCCCTGGGGGAGTGTGCGGGCGAACGGGCCAGTCGGGCAGGGTCACGGCTGCCTGGTTCTCGCTCTTGAAGGACAAGTTGCTGGAGCAGCCTGTGCCGCGGCGGCTCGCTTCCATCATGCAGGCCCCCGTCCCGTGGCTAAGGTTCCTGTGAGTTAGCGCGGACCAAGTCGTCAAAGGAAGGTTCATTTTTGTGCCATAGTTTCAACTGTCATTTTGAAAGGCAGTCAGAAAAATGTTGACTTCTGCATTGTTTTCACTGAGGCCTTGCCTAGTATGTATGTGTTCGGTAATCTTTCAGGGAAACCCTTGGTTCTCAAATATACGAGGTATAGGTGTTAAAGCCGGGTTTCATGGGAAGTTATTTCAGAGGCATTCATGGCAATGCAGAAAATATCAATAAAGAACATTCTAACTGCAATGTCTCCAATCTGTCTACTCCAGTGCAATCTGAAGTTTTCTAAGTAAAACCTGAGGAGGAAATGTTGGACACGAGCTTCCCGAGTAACAGCGGACTCCTCCACCCCGATACGTGGTTCCGGGGAGGAAGGAAATTGCAGTGGCGTCCATCACCATTTCCCTTTCAAACGGAGAAGTTTTGTGCAGAGGAGAGCAGCTCCCGCCGCACGTGGGTCTGCAGTCCCGGAAACAGTGTGGAGCGGAGGCGCCAGGGGGGCTCAGCCGGTTACGCGTCCGGCTCGCGCTCAGGTCGTGATCTCGTGGTTTGTGAGATCGAACCTGGCTTTCGGCTTCGCGCTGACAGCTGGGAGCCTGCCTGGGAGTCTCTCTCTGCCCCTCCCGTGCGCGTGTGCGCGCACACACGCTCGCGTGTGCTCTCAGACTTTCACAGAGTTCCGAGATGCTGGCGGTCTCCACCTCAGACGGGCTGGGCCCAAGTGTAACGGGAGCAGCGTGGTCACTTCTGGACACTCACTGCTTCCCGTAAACAGAGCGCGCTGTGCGCCCACATCGAGCCACAAAAGCCCTGCCCCCACCCTCACCCAGCCGACCGCTCACCGCGTGGAGCGAGCAGGGGCCACTGCGCGTGTCCTCCGTTCGCTTCTAAGAAAGGGACCGCTGCCGCCAACCCCCCACTTCTGCGTCACAACTTCGCTGGCCCGTCCCCGTTGCCACGTGAGCTCAGAGTCAACCCCAGTCGCACCCTGGGCTGTCCTCACTCGCTCACCTTGGACCCGGGGTGTCGGGGAGCCCCCACGGTACGGTCTCCCGTCATTCCTGAAAGCCACGGGCCGGTGGGACATGCGCGCTGGGGGCACGACCCCGGGGCCGGGGAGCCGGGTTTCTCACCCACAGAATGACACACAAACGAGTCCTGCTCCAAGCGCTTCTCACACACCAACCGTGTGGCAACGAGTTGGCCCTTCAGCGCGATCGGGGACAGCGGCCCTGACTGCAGGCGGCCGCGCAGCTCGGCAAGGACGCCCCACGTCCGCGAGCGCGGCGGCTCTTCCCTCCCCGTCATTTCCTAGGCCGGTCACCTCGGTCCGCCCCGTGTCCAACCAGTCGCCGGGTGCAGGCGCCCCTCTGGTGCCACTGTAAGTGTGTCTTTAAAAACCCACACTTCTGTCTGCCTGTTAAAAGATTCACACACAGGACTCACTTGCTCACTGGAGAGAGAACTGAAGGTGAAAGGGCTCCTCACACGCACGACGTCAGCTTTGCCGGAACTAACGCTGGGCACGCGCAGCTGAGGTTAAAATTTTATTTATGACCAGAGTAACATAAAAGATTGATTTTTCATGCCTCGCAAAGGAAAAGAATGTCGTAAGCAGGTCTCCAGCTTCTCTCTCTCTCAACACGTCCCAACCTTACGTTTCTGCTCCTAACTCTCTCCGTACCCGGGGGAGCCCAGCGCCGCCCGCGGGGAGCGACACGGAGTCTGGCAGGAAACCCAGCAGGGTCCCGGGGGTCACGGCCACGGCCACCGTGCCCCCGGCCCGGCGCGCTCCGCCTTGCGTGAACCCGGACGCCCTTGACGAGCCTGCCTGCCCTGGTCTGCGGGCCCCGGGGAGAGAGCCTCCTGGGAGGGAAACGGGAAGCCTGGACCTTCCCCGTAGAATAAAGTCTCCGAAAGCGTGGGGTTTCCCTTCTCACTGAAAGTCGCAAGCTCGGTCTTGTGCTCTGCTGGTCACTTCTCGGGTGCCCTCGCCACACGGAACCCGCGGGGCGCTGAGCCGCGCTCGTGGGAGGCCCTCTGGCTCCGGGGTTCCGCGGCCGCTGGGCCCGCCGCTCCCCAGAGCCCAAGTCACGGACCTGAGGAACCCCAGGGACCCCCCCCGGGCCGCGCTCTCCTCTTCACACCCGACCTTTCTGCGCCGCAGGCTTGGCGCCGCCGCCCAGCACCCGCTCGTCCTTCCCTACCGGCCGACGAGCGCGACGAGCAGACTTTCAACTTTCTCCTACAGCAACACGTTTCCACGTAAAAATCGTAAATGTGTCTTTTTTTCCTCTGGCAACTACTGTTGCTTGGTCAGTCCTCACCCTCCCCTTTTTACTAGAAAAACCCCCTGGACGGAGGGGGCCCGGCGGGCGGGCTCCGGTCCCTGAGGCGGCTGTCCGTCGGCCCCGCGAGGCTCTGCCTCCCGGGCGCTCAAACCGCACGGCGGGTGGTGCCCCAGGCCCCGGGCCGCCCCCCCGCACGGCTCTTCCGGGGTGCGGGGCGGATGTGGGGGGGAGAGGGCCCACGCGGAGTTCCTCGTCGCTCGGGGTACGGCACTGCGGTTACAGAAGGCTGGTTTGCAGGCTGCGGGAACGCACTGATTCCAGAGAGTTCAAGACCCCGCGGCGTCATCTGTAGCAACAAGGAGAAACAAGACCGAGACGGTGAGGCCCGGCCCGGAGGGGGGCCTGCGGCAGGCGTCCCGGCGCCCACGGCCGTGCGCACGCGCTCCAGGCCCTGAGAATGACTCCGACGCAGAGGCCGCGGTCTAGATACGGCTTCGTGACTTGTGCACGGCGTCAGGGAACAAAGGAAATCACCGCGCTGGGTTTGCGAAGATCGATGGGAACCTCACCCCGTGGATATGGGCGCCCCTTCCCTTCTTGGAGGACGGGCGGGTCTGCGATCGGAGCCCCCCCCCCCCACCCGCGCAGTGCGGCCCGGAGGGCTTTGAGCAGACGCGGCCGCCCGGGGAGAAGCAGCTGCTGGCGTGGGTGCCGCCACGTGGGGCTCGTTGGCTGCCCCCGACACGTCCGCCAGGCGTGAGCCCTGCCCCCCGGTGCGCACCTGCCGCCCCGCGGGGGCCCCGGGCGGGAGCCGCGGCGCACGCACGACTGTGGCGGCGGAAACACTATCCGCAGAGACGATCGGAAGATCCGCCTTCTTAAGTATCACAGGCGACTGAGGAGCCCCGGACAGACGGGGAAATCGGAGGAGAGACACCAGTGGAAAAAACCACCCGCCCTGGAGGAAACAAGTCAACGCTCATTTCATTCTTTCCCTTGTCACCGGGTTACACTCGTGCCCGGGAGCCGAATCCACATTCCAAATATTTGCGGAAAGACCAAGCAGGAAACGCCCCGAACAGCCTTCTCCCTCTAGAGGGAAGTGCGCGGAGGCCCTCACCGCCGGCGTCCACCCAGCGGTGTGAATGAGGCCACGGCCTCCGTGTCCCGTCGTCACCAGCCCTACTCCGGTGACGCCACTGCGCGCAGCCACTCTCCAAAATCGCTTCGTTTTACTTCAGCGTCATCTGCACCCAGCATCGTGAAACCACTGTACCCACGACAGGCTGCTTGCGCAGGGCCGGCTTCTCGGCCGCGGGGGGCAGACGCCGGGAGTACGCGGGCTTCTAGGTGCCAAGGAAGTGGGTGAACTGGTAGGTTACGTGCTCCCTCGGGCCTAGAAGTTTTTGGTGGACAATGAGGTGTTTAGGAGCCTTTTGCTTCGGTTTTCTTATTTAAAATTAAAAAAAAAAAAAAAACACCTAAATTCTGCTTTAAAACTCTGCAATCCCAGTGTTGTCAGGAATGGAGTCAGCCAGCCAGAGAAGCCTCTGGTAGCCTCTCAGGATCTGAAAAGACAGCACAGTCTTGGCGGAGGGGAGGAAAGATGCTATGAAAGAGAATGTGTCAGAAAACCAAAGCGCTTCCCAAAATTAACTTAACACTCTCAAAATAAAAACCGAACCCGCAGACTACGACGTAAAGTTGAGAATCTCCCAGAAAGTTTTTGAAAAACTGAAAACAAATGGAGCAGGGAGACATCAGAGAAAACACAAGACCTCGGAACGCAATCCAGGAGGCCGGGCGGCAGGAGGCCGGGGACGAGGGGCCACGACGGAAAGATGTACTCAGGGAGACGGGGGGTATCCCCGGACTGGAGAATCAGGAAGAAGATGGAGCAACGTATATGAGAAAGAATTCCGTCTAAACACATCTTCGTGAAATTTCGAACACGAGAAAGAGAAGGTCCTGAAAGCTTCCAGAAAGGAAGGCAACAGATCACCTACAAATCACTGAGAACGGGGTCCCTGGCAGAATCCCACAGCCCGGGCCTCGAGGTGTCAGTCCCCCCACATGCGGGGCTGCGAGCGGCCCCCCGAGGAGGTCCCGGCCGCGTGGCCGGGGGCAGGAGGCCGGAAGGTTTTCGGGGCCGTGGCCTGGGAAGCGAGAGCTCCCACATGGCAAGAGTGACCAGCCCGGAGCTGGGCAGAGGCCGGATGTCACAGGAAGGGAAGGCCAGTATGACAGTGGATGAGCCACTGAAAAATACCGTGGGGCGCCGGGGGGCTCAGTCGGTTAAGTGTCTGACTCTTAACTCAGTTCAGGTCATAATCTCATGGTTTTTGAGTTCGAGCCATGCATCAGGCTCGGTGCTGACTGTGGAGGCTGCTCGGGATTCTTCTCTCCCTACCTGTCTCTCTGTTCCTCCTCAGCTCTGACTCTCTCTCTCAAATGAATAAACTTTAAAAAAAAAAATACCCCAAGACATTATTTTCTGGACAAGGGCAAATAGAAATTTAGAAACTCCTCCAAAAATAAAAAGCAACACTAGCAACACCAACATGTAACAAGCGAAAAAACACACTTGCCCTTGAACTGAGAACAGCACGGACACGGCCCGGTCACACAGCCCCCGGGGGGCCGGCCGGCCAGGAAAACCAACGGCTGTGTGGTCTTAATAAAGTAATTGCTTCTGTTTTCCAACCTTAGATTCCACCACCTCTAGACAGACCGCAGGGCACGGTCAATGATGTGACCTTGGCGACCAGCACCTCCGCAGAGAAGCGGCTCAGGGAAGGGAGGTGGCCGAGGGGGCGCGGAGGGCGGATCGGCAGCCAGTGTTGGGCCACGGACACCCGGAGGCAGGACGTGAGTGCGCCGGGTCCCCTCTCCCGGAGCCACAGACGTTTGTCCGCTTAAATCAACGGTCCTGTAACTCTCCGTCGGTGACACAGGGAACAAGACAGGAGATCTGAAGCGGTTTTCTCTGTGGACCGAGGGGACGGAAGGCAGGACGGTGGCCAGCCCTGGGTGCCGGGGGTGGGGACAGGCTCCCAACATGGCTGCTTCTCGAAGCGGGGGCGAGAACGCCCGGCCCGACCGCCGAGCGCTTCCTCCAGCACGTGCAGCCTTCGACAGACATGCATGTCCTCGGCGGGGCCTCCGTGCGGTCGCCCCTCCCACCCGCGGCAAGGGCCCCACGAGCGGACAGAACTCAGCGACGACACCGGTGCGTGTGGCCAAGCGGCCGCCGCGGAGAACGCACGTACCGGCATCGGACCGGCGGGGCCTCTTCGACTCTTCAAGCCCGTTCTCTTCCAGCTTCCTCTTGGCGCAGTCCTGACACGCGTTCCCTGCAAGGTGAAAACTTCTGTAAAAGCCGATCCGTCCTAGAATCCACCCTTCAAGGACTAACAGATCGGACTTTGCTGAAGCACCGGCCAAACAACCCCGGCCCTACCCCACGGTTACGCTTTCCTCCAGAGCAAAGGGTGGACCTGGGAGTCACGTGGGAGCGGGAAGGGCCCACTGAAGGTGTCCTTGCGCAGGGCAACGAGGCAGGAACGGAAAGCGAGGCGCCGAGCAAGGCGGGCGGGGACACAGGTCCGCACAGACCACCCCCTTACCCACCGGGCCACCGCGGCCACACAGCCCGGTGCCCAGGCCACCCCAGAAGGACGCAGGTCGCCACCCAGCCCGGTCTGGTCTTGTGGATTCGTAACTGGCCAGAGCCGTCACCGGCTCTGGGGGAGCCGTCTCACTAGCGGCTACGTGGTCACTGCCCGCAGCGCTCCACGCTTCTACAACGGCAGCGGCCAGACAACGGAACAAAAACCGGGCTGGTAAAAATCAAGATCTGTTTACCCAACAGCGTGGTGCTGTCCACTCGGTCAGCATCTGGAGAAGAAAGAACAGTCAGCAGAACCCAGACGTCACGGCCGCCAAGCGCCCCTCCTTACCTCCTCCCAGTGTCACTGCGAGGACCCAGGGGCTCCGCGTGTGGCACACCCGGGCGGCCGTACCCGCGGCCGTGACTGTCCTCGCCGGGACACTGTCCTCTCCAGTCGGGAGCGGTACTTCACGAGGATAAGCACAAACGTCCATAAGGACACGGTCACAGCTTACAAGTCCGAAAGAGCTTTCGGCCCTGACAGCCCGTCAGACCCACCTCGCTGCCGGGGCCTGGTGGGGACAGGAAAGCACGAGGGCTCACCCCAAGAGCCCGGGCCCACTCGGGTTCCCGTGGGGTCCTGGTCCTCGGGGCAGCCGTGCGTGCGGAGGGGCAGGGCAAGGAGGTGCGGGCCTGTCTGGGACACAGGATCCAGTCCCAGCTCACTGGGCAAGCGAGCTGCCTCTCCGAGCTGGCCTCGCCACCTATCAAATCGTGTTTCGCGGCCGCGAGTCCTGTGACCCAGCGTGAAGGTGGAGAAGGTAAAACTGACGGGGGTGCGGGACCCCACGAGCGTCCGTCCCTGCTGCTCCTCTGACCACGAAACAGACCACTGCCCTCAACGTAAAGCAGTCGTTTGCTAACTGTTCGCAAACCGTTCGCAATGACTAGAGGGAAAGACGAAGCCGTTGGGGCGATCCACGCATCCGGCGGCCCACAATCTTCCAGGTCACGGCGGCCACATCCTGCCGTTAAGTGGCTGACCCAAGTCCCCTGCCCGGAGGGTGGGGGGGGGGGGCGTGGGGATGGGCTCTGGTTGCAATTAAATGACAACCAGTGAAGACTGTTCCGCGTCCGCCATCGTCTGTGTTTTATGCCACCAAACTCAAAGCCGCTACCCGCCCTTACGTCAGGATGGCCCGTTTAAAAACTGCTCAGTCACCCTGGCCCTTCCTGCGCAGGTCACAGGTCCCCACAAGCTGGGCCGAGAAGGATTCAACAGGCCGTGCTGCCCTGGGCCCGGCGGGGAAAGGACATTATTTGCAAAAGGACAGGAAAGTCTTCGTGAAATCACTTTGTGCCTCCACAGCGACAGGGGCATAAACGAGGTCTCTGCGCTTTGCGGGGCTGCGGGACCCCGACTGCGGCGGCCGCTGGGCGGCCCGCTCTCCCAGGGAGGGGCTGGGGGCGTCGCGTCCCCCGAAACAGGAACAAACGGGGCCACCGCACGTGGGGCGCTGAGCGCGCAGGCTCCGCTCGCACCCGTCGCCGTCGGGCCCGCCGCCCCAGCCTCCAGCTTGTAAAGGACACACGGACCTTTTTAAAAGCAGCGCTGGAGGGCCGGTCAGGGTAACGGGCCGTGAAACTACGTCTCCGTTTTACGGGGCGCTGCGAACACCAGGTCTCAAACAAGGAGGGAAAAGCAGAACGAACGCTGTCCGTTTACGCCCTGAGGGGCCCGTACCTGGACTGCGCTGCCTGCAGATCTGGGAGGCGAGGTCCTGCACGTACCCGGGGAAGTAGTCAAAACAGTCCCCGTACGACACCACCTTGATCCCGTGCAGCAGCATGTCAGCCTGGTGCTTGAAGAAATGGTCCTCGTTCTCCTTGAGCACCAGCATGTAGTGCTCCAGCTCCACCTTGTTGGGCACCGAGTAGAGGAAGAGGGCCTGGAAGATCTGGTCCCGCAGGGTCTCCCCGCAGCCCACGAACAGGAAGGACTTGGTGCGGTACAGGCTCTGCAGCACCTCCTGCGGGGAAACCGACCGAGACGCGGGGATGGCGCGTGGCCACGCCGCTACAACGTCCCCAGGCAACAGGCCTTCCCGCCAGCCGCGCCGAGCACACGGTCCCTGCCCGGCTCCCACGGAAGCCCCTCCCCGCCCAGCCCGGGTCACCGATCCAGGTCCCGATCAATGTCCCGCACAGACGTGCCTTGGAGGAAGGAGAGCCCAACGCCCACCCACCAGCCGTGCTGCGGTGCAGTCCCTCCGATCAGATCTTCTGGAATTAAGTACAATTTTAAAGTGAGCTAAGAACATTCCATTTGTTTCTATCCAGAACCATGTGCGTATGACGGTCTGGAATTCAGGGGTCTCCATGGCTCGCATATGGGAACGGGGGTGCTGGGCTCAGAGCTGGGTTGCTGGGAGTGAGAGCAGAGGAGCTGGGGGGGGGAGCGCCCAGGACAGGGACCCCGGGGAGCAGGCAGGAGGGGGCGGCAAGTATTTTCTCACTCAGGCACGCGGCGGGAAGTCGCCACTTCAGACACCCGACACCCTGGAGGGAGGCCCGGTGCCAGCCGGGCGTCCTCCCGGCCCCAAGAGCATCACTGAGGCAGTGAGGAGCGTCAGCCCAGCCGCCTGGCCACCCGCCACGCCGCCTGAGCCGGGACCAGCGCGTGGCCCGCAGCGCCCATCCCCAGCCCAGCGGTGACTCAGTGAGAAAATACTGTGCTTTCTAAGCGCTCCACTTAAGAGTTTACAAAAACTTTTCCTCGCTTCATTTTGTCCAGAATATCAAAACAGCCTCACAGGGAACGAGTGTAAACCGAGGTTTTGAAAGCTGGAGAGGCTGCCAAGCAGAGGAAGGAGACGAGAGGCCTGGAAGAATGCAAAGGAAACCCCACCTGAGGTCGGGCGGAGGGGCCACAGAAAACCAGCTCGGAGCACGCGGGGCCCCGCAGGCCCGGCCGGAGACAGCGCCCCGCGTCCCCGAGCGGCCGCGCCGGCCCCAGGAGACAGAGGCGTGGACAGGGCCCGCTGGGTGACCAGGGGGGCAGGCGTGCCCGGAGGCCACCAAGTCCCGAGGGACACGGGCAACGCACCATGACTTCCGGGTCTTGGGTGACATCCTTATACCCAGACGGGTCCAGGACCATCCCGCAGGGGTCGGTGTACAGGCCGTGGATGTGGAGGACCCCGTACTGGAGGTGGCCTCTCGCCCACTGCAGGACCTGCGGACACAAGCCCCCACGGGGGGGGAGGGGATTTCAAACAGACGGAAGAGGGAAACACGTACGGTGGATTCGTGGTTTCTGCAACGTGCCGTGGAAAGAACGAGAAACGTCTCACTTGACAATGACACCTGGAGAGCCTGAGACGCCGGGGGCCGGCCCCGCCCACTCCGTCAGAGACCACACAGAAGTGCTTTACGGCAGCTCTGCAGAAAACACCTGCGCCGTGGGGCACGAGCGGGACCACTGTCACATCCACGTGCCAGGTCTTATTACCGCTGTGGATACGCTGTCGTCACGCCCAGAAAATACACACGGGGCCAAAGACCTTATCAAATAGCCCTACACTGACTTCGTCTCACAATCTAGAATGGGGCCCCTGAAAAGATGCCCATCACACACGCTCCACTTCATCTTCACGCCAGGGCCACTGTCCCCTCAGCGGGCAGGCGGGGCACCGCCGGGCACCACGCAGAAGGTGGGGCAGCCAGCGCTCCTGCCACAGGCCCTTTGCAGGTGACTTCCAGAGACACGATTTACAACAGCCAGCGAGCCGCACAGATGTGACCGTGTAGCCGGGGGGCGGAGAGCAGGTGCGCGGTCACGGGTCACTAACAGCTCGGGGGAGGATGCGCCCCCACGGTGAGGACCGTGCCAGCACAGCCCTGGGGCGCCGTCCCCAGGCACGCATCAACCCTGCCACGCTGGGGGCGGGGGGGAGCCGCCAGAGAGCAGCTCTCAACATCGAGGCGCGATCTCTATGCGCTTTGGCTTCCTGTGCGGAGACCCGGAGAGCCCAGCGGCAGGGTCAGTGAGGACGTGACATCTCTAGGCAAACACAACAGACACAAACGCTTCACAACAGAAACACAGTCGACAAGATGAAACCATGATCAACCTCAGCAATAACAGGAACGAAAATGCAAACTGTTGGCCGACGTCCGCCTCAATGGGAGACGTGCATCGTGTGTGGCCTCTTGGAAACACGCGTAACAAGACGTGGGATACACGTGCGCGGACGCAGCTGCCGGCAGCAGGGACTGGCTCACTTCCTGGAGCGCAATCTGGTGCCTCGCATCGTCTAAAACACTCCGACCCTCTGACCCCGCAGCTCCTCTGGGATGTGGCGCTACGGAAGTACGCAGGAGGCGGCGGGAGTGAACCCTCTCCCCGGCCGCGCTGCGCACAACTGGGAAGGACGCTCACAGGGACAGAGAAGCCCCGATTCTGGTTCGGTCCCGCAGGTACACTGCCGTTTGTAGGCGAGCTTCTAATCCACTTCCCGACAGGAAAATGCTCAAGCACAGTATTCGGGGGGAAAAACAAGACACCGATGTTACACCCGGCATCACCCTACCTGTGAGGCAGGGGAGGGGCCACCCACACCCCGGGGCCCACACCCCCTCCCACAAGGCGCGTGTGCCGCGAACACACGCATTCAAAGGCACAGAGCCCCCACCCTCCGGGTTTGGTGACAGCAGATGTGCTGCTGTGAGAGGGGGGCTCGGTCAGCCCCCCCCACTACCCCCCCCCTCTCGCCCCCCCCGGCCCCGCACCTTAGTCTTGTCCTTCAGGTCCAGCGACTCCATGGGCTTGCTCTGCTGCTGCCCAAAGATCTCCAGCAGGTTGTCGTAGTTGGTGGTCAGGACCAAGGTGCCCCGGTCCATGAGGCTGAGGATGGACTGCAGCACCAGCGGGTTCTGGATGTGCTGCTCCAGGTTGTCGAAAACCTCCATCAGGCAGTCCTGGAAGAAGCTGGGCTTGGTGTCACCCGTGCGCTACGGAAAGGTGCAACAGGAGTTACAAAAACACCCTCTCTCGGCCGAGCACCTACCTACGCGGCCACGTTCCGGCTGCTGGTTTGAGAAGGAAAGGAAGGAACCCCTGACCTGGGAGAGCTCCCTAAAACTGCAGCGAGGGAGACACATCACGTACAAGGTGTAAGGGATACGTCGATAGTGGCAAACCTTCTGGGAAAGTAAAGCAGAAAAGGGGGGATGGTGCTGCTGGGGGCCAAGGGCACTGGGAAGGGCCTCTGTTCGGGGATGTTGGAGCAGAGAGCCTCTGGGGTACCCCGAGCAGAGGGAAGAGCAGATGCAAAGGCACTGAGGTAGCAACCGCACGGGTGGGTCCTAGGGTGAGCCGGGGCCCCCGGGGGTGAGGGTGAGCAGGCGAGGGGACCTGGAACCAGACGGTGTGAGGCCCTGAAGGCCACAGGAAAGACTGCAGATTTCCCCTGGAAGGGTGCAGGGGTGCGGTCTTCTCGGTCCTGCAGCATCTTAAATTAGGCGGAGGACAGTAAGGCACCTGCTGCTGAGTGATTCGATGGGACGGGAATGAGATCTGGCCTCTGGAGGGAGCACAAAGGGCACCTTCGGCCTTGACCTGAGCTGCTTCCCTGCACACTTGGGGCAAAGCCCGGCCTCAAGGGGAGGGAGGGGGAGCCGCAAGTACACACAAGCTTTTGAAGAGCCCTGCTGGGAGGGGGCGCAGGGTCAGGTGGCAGCATGCGCTCCGGAGGGCCGAGCCTCCCCGGCCGCCCCAAGATGCATGACAGCAAATGTGCCAGCCCACCCTCAGGACTGTCCATCAGACGTCCCCTCTGTCCCGTGGAGGTCACAGGTCACAAGACCCCCATGACAGCACTCGATGCCCTTTTCCGACATTCTCATATCCCTCCCCAGCCTGGAACCCCACGCCCCCCACCCCTGTTCCCAGGGACAGTCACCAGTGAACTCCCACATCTTCAGCCGTGAGAGTCCCCCTCCTGCCGCTGCCCTCATGTGCCCCAGCCTGGGGAGACGGGGGGGGGGGGCACCCACAGGGTCCCGGCTCCTATTAGGTCTCTTATGGCTGCACTTCTGTGCCAGTTCCTGCCGGTTCCTTCACCTGCTCAGCTGAGCCTCCAGGCACCTCCCTCCCTCCCTCCCTCCCTCCCCTGCTGGTGTCCCATGTCCCCCATGCGGCCCGTCACATCCCAGCCTCCTCACCACCAGGAGCAGGGCCCTTTCAGAACCTGTGGCCGGGCCTCCCCTCTCTGCCAGTCCTGCCAGCACCTCGGTGCCCAGGGCGACTCCAAAACCATCAGGACCCGCCCACCCCCGATGGGACCAGAGACCCTCCCCCCTCCCCCCTCCCTTCTCCCAGGGGTAGCCTGCCTTCCGGGACTCCTAACTAAGCTTTCCCTTCCTCTCTGGCTGGGACTTCCTGACTTCCTGGCATTTGGGACAGACACCTCCCCGCGCCCCCCACATACTTGTTCTCAACCTGCTGACCACGGGGGGGGGGGGGACCCCACACAACTGTTCCCACCGGCCTCACTTTAACTCTGGTTTTATGAAGTTTAAACCAAAGAGCAGATGAAGGCTCTGCCCGCAGCAGGGCTGAGTGTCCGCCCCGCTGGCCTCCCTCCAAATGAACCACCTCACCAGCACGCGCCCCGCCCGCCACACCGCTCTGTCCACCGACTCGTCCCCGTTCCTCCTCAGCAAAGGCCCTGACAGCGACGACTTTAGGCTCTGTGGGCCCCAGTCTCTGTCATGATTACCCAACCCTGCGTCAACGTGTGACAGCAGCCACGGACACGTATGATCACGTGGCTGGGCACCGGCAACTGTACTCACCTAACAGGCAACCCGCCAGCCCTGTCCCGCGTGCAGCCTGCCCCGCGTCAACACAACACCGCCACCGGGACGGCCAGCAGCCGAAGCCCTTCCCCGGGGCTGCAGTCATCTCATTAAGTCGGCAGCTGGGTCGCAGCAGCCCAAACTCCCCCGGTCTCCACGATGACCCTCAGACACCCTCTCGTGCTCTGAGCAGTGTCTCCAACACGTCCCCCCCCAACTCTCAGACGACGGCTGTGCTTTAACAAACACAGAAGGAACCAGAAGAAACCCGTCCCTGGCCTCTCCCACATCGTGTGGCTTCCTGGCGTCCGTGCTGCCCAAGGTGAGCCCCCCACCCCATCCTCCCCGGCACCAGCACCCCTGGCGCAAAGGGAATGAAGTCATAAGGTCCGTCCCCAGTGGGACACGACATCCCAGACACCACGTCACATACGTCCTGGGCTCCACTAGGCTCGGGCTCTGTCAGGAGCCCCACGGTGTGCCCGGCATCACCGCTGTCACAAGTGATGGTTCAAGTTCTAAGGGACGTGAACACCGGCTCGTGGGCCTGGCTCTGCCGAGAGCATAACACAGCGCGGGCTCGTACAGGGTTCACATCAGACCCACCGACCCCCGGCCCAGAAGCAAGCTTCCCCAGGGGGACCCGGAGCGGCCCTCAGACAGACTTACAGGCGACATCTTCCGGATCAGATCGTGGGCAACGACCAGCAGGTCCCGGTCCTTCGTCACTTTCCTACGGAACTCGGCGATGTCCCCCGGGTGAAGCACCTCCAGCTGCTCGGCAGCCTCGATGACGGCCTCGATGCAGCTCCGCCACGAGCACAGGGCACGGATTCCCGGGGCCACCGCGGCGCTGACGCCCGTCCCGATGACCAGGAGCAGCTCCTGGGGCTGCTTCCGGATGAGGCTTTTTAAAAACTTTCTACTTAAAAACAAAGGAAGGAGAGAGCGGAAGTCATCCTGGAAGTACCGTGACCAGAGGGAAAATGACCTCTAGGAACCCTGCGGGGCTCAGGTCAAACCCAGGTGCGCCCCTGGCCCCCTACTTCCGGCTGCTGGGGGAGGGGCTGCCGTCCTCCTCGTGGGTTCATCTCACATGCTCTGCCCTCAGCCCATAGAGGAGCTGGGGACAGCTGTGCCTCGCTCATCCCGGGAGCCCCATGGAGGGAAGCACCCATTTAAGTGATACACGTATGTAACAAAAGGCCGGCAATTTGAATTCCTTTGACGCTGCCGGGCGCGATGACAAAATGACCCCGCTGGCGGTGACAGGTAAGAAAGGCTCCGGCCCAAGCTGGCTTGCTGCCATTTCTCCATCGCGACCCACCCCAGGCTGGCACCTCCTTACCCAGCCCCACTTAACACCCGCGACCCGCCGTCCGCAGGGCCGGAGAATGCCCTCCCGGAGGCACGGCACTGCCAGTCTCCGACGGGACCCTGGGCTCACTGGTTGCTTGGTCCGGAGACCAGGTTACGGCCACGTCCTCGGGCAGAGAGAGAACTGCCTTCGGGAACAGTTCTGACGCTGAAGCGCAGGGCGGCTGCACACCCCCCGCACCCCTCCTGACACTGTGTCCTCCTTCCACGTCCCCCGTGTGGGGGCCAAACACCGGGTCAGGAGGCCCGGGGCGCGTGCTCTAACCCTGCCTGCAGCGTAGCTGACTTTGTTTACCTGGATTTTTGTTCACTTCTGTTTGTCGTCTTTTCCACTGGATCCATCTGTAAATCCTAAGGAGAAGAAGGAGTCAGCAGTGCCTTCCAACTCCGGGGGACAGCTCTCTCCTTACCACCCTGCAAGGGCTGAAGCTGGGATTAAAATCAAAGGCCCCAGATCTCGGTTAAACCAGAAGACCTAAGAAATGCCACATACAAAGCGCACATCCAGATGCCACTGTTCCCACGCCTGCGACCAAGCTGGCCAGGCACAGGCTCGGATTCATACTCTCCGAAGCTCTACTCTGGGCGGAAAGGGAGGGGAAGGAACGTGCGCTGGGCCCAGATGGCGGGGCGGGCTCAGTGCCGGGCGCCCTGCCCGCGAGCATGCATGCAAATGACTTGTCACGGGGAGCGATGGCAAGTGGCGCACCAGAACAAGGCCAGGAGGGCGACGTTTTCAGGGGGCGGAAGAGTCCCCGCCAAGGCACCGAGCCCTCCCGCAGCCGGGCTGAAATCCAAGTAAAAAAGGTCCATTCTTAGCTTCCGTGAAACAAGCATCTTACACCAGCTAGGTCTCTATGGCCAAACTATCTCCACACTCTCCAAATTTTACAGAATCACTTTCCCCCAATTCCAGAACTAACATTTCTGTAAACAAAGAAATATACAGAAAAACCAAGCTTATAAAGCCCATAACCCTGCTGCCTATGGGCAAGAACTGTTAGGAACGTGTACATTTCCCTCTAGACATTTTACATTTTTCCCATCATTCGAGTCCAAAGGTCATACCCTACTCTTTTCCCATGTGTTATAAGAAAAGCGTTTTCCTTTTCTTATTAAAGATTCAGAGCTAGAAGTGTAATTCAGAGCTAGAAGTCGCTACAGTGTAGTCTTTTGTTTTTAATCTCAGTTAGAATCAGGTCACCAAAAATAATTTCCCAGGGCAAGTAAACAAGGCTTAATCAGTCTAGAAGCACTAGATCTGAGAGCTAACTGGGATCCGAAGACTATGCCCGGACGATGGAGATACACCCCTCTGTCCCACCCCGGCCCCGAGAAAGGGTTCAGACCTGGCACCAACATCCCAGTGGTGCCTGTACCCTTCCCTCGAATGTTAAGAAATCACAGCCCACAGGCAAGTGGAATCGTGCACGGATGCCTGTCATCCATCCAAGGGGAAAGGCAGGCAAAGTTGGGGCTGGCTCCCGCCCTTCCTCCTTCCCACTGGAGTTCCGATCAGAGCCATTGAGTCAAATCTTTTTTTTTTTTTTTTTTTTTAACCTACTAGATATTTTCTAAGGAAGGAAACAAATATCGGGGCTTTCCACCATATGAAGGCACCCTGGATCCCAGCCCCGAGGTTATCAATGACTAACCATTCACCAGTTGTCAGTTTTAACAACTATAAAACAAAAATTCGTGCCAACCAAGTTTTGAAGGCTTGAGGCGCTCTCCTGCGAACGTGTGTGGAGGGTCAGACCGTGCGTCAAACAGTGCGGGCTCCGACCTGCCAGGGAGGCGGCTCCTTACCCTCCTCGGTGCTTCAGAACAGACCTTGAGGCTCATTCCTACTCAATCGTATTTGAAAAGTGAAGGTGAGATGCTTATGCGGCTGGTTGACTGCTGGGTCTGCCTCCCACCCTTCCCCCCGAAATAATGCTCATCTATTTGAAATAGTTACTCCTGCGAGGACAGACTTTGATGTCGGCCTTCTCTACGCAACACTTTAGGATTTTTTTTTTTAATGTTTTATTTATTTCTAGGAGAGAGAGAGAGAGAGAGAGAGAGACAGCGTGAGCAGGGGAGGGTCAGAGAGAGAGGGAGTCACAGACTGAAACAGGCTCCAGGCTCTGAGCTGGCAGTCAGCACAGAGCCCGACGCGGGGCTCGAACCCACGAACCTCGAGATCATGACCCAAGCGAAAGTCGGACGCTTAACCGACTAAGCCACCTAAAGCCCCACTTTAGGATATTTTTCATTTTTTATTTTTTTTAATGTTTTATTTATTTCTAGGAGAGAGAGAGAGAGAGAGAGACAGCGTGAGCAGGAGAGGGTCAGAGAGAGATGGAGTCACAGACTCTGAAACAGGCTCCAGGCTCTGAGCTGGCAGTCAGCACAGAGCCCGACGCAGGGCTCGAACTCATGAACCGCGAGACCATGACCTAAGCGAAAGTCGGACGCTCAACCGACTAAGCCACCCAGGCGCCCCTAGGATATTTGTTAAACATTCCCTGGTCCACCAAAGACTTCAGAAAGGCCTCAAATTGTTCCCATGGTAAAAAATAAAAATTAAAAAAACCTTCTACCTGTCACTCTTCCAATTTCTGTTCAACTGCTTGTGATTCCCCACACGGGCAGGACCTTAGCTATGAACCAGGATGCTAAATACTGCATTGACACGTCTGCAAAGTATGAACAATTTAAACTCTGGCGGGCCAGATGTAACCAAAATTAGGCGATTTCAAAGTTTTCCAGAAGAACTCACCCGGCAAGTACTGAGCCCTTCGTAACACACCCGAGCCTGCCCTCCCGTGGGCTCTGTTGCTGGATTAAAGTGCTCAAACCTCTTTCCCTGCCTGAGCTCGGGAAGGTCAGGAGCCGGCTCCGCAGACAGGACTTCAGACAGAATCACGGGCTCCAACTTCAAGGCACGGAGGTGCCTCCCGACTGCGGCCCTGCTGTGCACCCTTAAGGATCAAAGGAGCCCACGGGGGAAGCGCTCAGTCGTAGGAAAACTCAGCCCAAGGACCAGAGGCAGCGCAGAGCTGCCCATATTTAGACGCCGACGGTCCGCTGGAGCACGCGGGCTGCAGACCTGCCTCACTTCCTGTGCTTTCAGCAGACTTGTCAGCACCAGAACCAAATCTCACCATAACCCAGGAAGTACCCCAAAGCGCTCCTCCTCCTTACACCAAGGGCCAAGGAGGGGGTTTCCAAAGCAATTAGGGCCAGATCCTAGAAGTTTGGGCAGGATGGCAAGCCTCTGCCCGTCTGTTCCCATCCCTGCACCGAGCCAGTCAGATGCCAGACAGCAGTAACAAAAGCCTTCAGAGACCTTTTAGAAGCTGCATCTTTTGGTCTCCTTGGCGACCATGTCGTCACCACAGTTTGCAGCCCCAGGGCATCCCATTTTTTTCTTCAAGGACCTATCAGCACCTCCTGGATGCGGAATCAGGCGCCAACACGGATCTGTAGGATCAGTTCCCGTCCATTTTCTCTAAAGCCACAAATTAAAAGTCTGAACAGCATGTTTTCTGCTTAAAATCTGAGATCATGAGTGTTTTATGAACTAGCTTTAGAGGAGCCAGAGATGGTCTTATCCTTTGAACCCCCAGCATCTAGCACGAAATACATGTTCATCAATCGGGGTCCAACGCAAAAGAGAATAAACTATGACCGCAGTCTGTTATTACAGTTGGTGAAACAAGCCCCCTCCCAGCTCCCTAACCCCACTGGGCCAGACTGCTCATGACCTTCCCCTACCATCGTGCCTCCTGATAACCACGCCCTTGGACGGTCCCCATCATCACGTGACTTCTTTGACCGACGACGACGACGACGGGAGGAGCACTCTGACACTGGAGGCAGCCTTCTGGAACCCGGGCCTCGTTAAGTGCAGTCCAGCCTTCGGGCAGGGCGACTGGCCACCAGCGCTGAGCCAAGGCCCGCCGTCTGACGACCGGCACCATCCACCCACCCAGCATGGAAGAGGCCACCGGGGACCACTCGGGGCCAGTCCAGCAGCCAGATCATGACAGCTGCATGAGTGATCCCCGTGAGGCCAGCCGAGGCCCTGCTGAAGCCAGGCGCTGACCTACAGAACCGACCTCCGTCTGAAACGCTCATTCCGTCCGCCGTTTTCACCACCACGAAGAGCACAGAGACAGGAAAGTGTCGAGAGAAGGGAAAAAAGAACGGATCAACAAGTGCCCGGATCCGTGGTTTTAAGGGGGAGAGAGAAAAATGTTTGTCAAGAATGGTCTTATATTAAGTTAGCACGACAAAAACCTTCCAACGAACCTTAATTACTTTCTATTACAAACTACTTTACAGCACACACCATGAATTAGGGTCTGAGGGATCCTGAAACAAATCTCAGATAAACCTCTTCCTTTCTCCCTAGCAACGGATGACACGGGTTTTGAGTGACATAGAGGAGTGCGGGGACGGGAGCTCTTGAGTTATAAGCGCCCGGTCACAGAAGGGGGGTATACCGTGGACATATACTCAAAATAGATCCCTCTTACACAGCAGGGGAGGGGATCCTACAAGCATCTGTCAAATTTTCCAAACGCTGGCTTTTAACTCAGCCACAGTGGACCCAGAGAGTGACGGACTGAGGTGCTCCCAGAAGGCGTGCAGGAGTCTGACGCAGGTCCCCACGACTACAAATGACTGGAGTCCCACAGAGGCCTGGCTGGAGGGCAGGCCCCAGTAAACATTCTATCAACACAGCCAGCTGCTACAGTTACAAAAGTGACCAGCGAGGTGTGCAGATGTGCTGACAGGAGAACGGGGCGGGGCTAAGGGGACAGAGGCACCTGGCATGGTTGGAAATCTGGGTATAACATGTGACTCCCGCAAAACGTAACTACAGAGAGCAAGAGCCACCAGAGAGCGCTTTTTATCGGGACGCAACATTCACAGGGGGCTGAACTGTTCACAGGGGATCAGTGCCCACGGCATCTTAAGCAGTTACTGGGAGGACTTGAACTCACCACCAACACAACCAGAAGTAGCAACGAAATAAGGACTGGACAGTATGACCACAGGGAATTTCCTGCAGTTTTAACAGTGCACGTCTACGTCTGTTTACACTCCTCTCATGGCGAATGAAGTCACGTACAGTTTGCAAGTTCTGATGAATTTTAACTTTTTAATGGATCTGTGTAAGCTTTACGGTAGTTAACTGATCAAATAAACTAATATCTACAAATATTTTATGCATTCATGACATATCCTAACTTTTTCTCAAGTCTCTCGCTATTTCTAGGCTACGTGGCTTGTCTGTGTTTTTTCAAATAGTCACAAATCTCCAAAAATGTTCCAATGTATTCACTGAAAACAAGCTG